GGTTAAAGCACGGGAGGGTGGCAGGAGTTCTGGGCTGTACCGATGGAGAGTGACCTGCTTTGTTACAGGAAGCAAATCTCCGGGTTTTCAGCTCCTCGGTGCCGGCTCTGGAAGGCAATCGCACGGGCAGAGAAGTCGGTGCGGGCGGGTATTGTCTCAGCCGTCCCCATGGCTTGGGTGGAAGACAGGCCTGCAAGTGCGTGAAGGGGTTGTACAAACACAGCTGCGGTTGTTAGTTTGAACTGTGACTCAGAAACTTGAAGAGTGATTGTAAACTGCAGGCAGCTGAGCCTGGTTATGGTTCCTGGCATTTGTTCAGCTGAGAGTTTTCTTCCCACCGAAAATCTTTGGATAAAGAGGTTTCACTTTCTTTCATGTCATATTTCTTTCAACAGTCTTATTTGCTAGGACGCTGTTACCGCTACTTGAACGCACATGGTGTATGAAGTGTCAACAATGACCGGGATTTAAAGTCCTGGCTTTGGTGCAGGTCTGCAGGATACTTGGATCCTTTTTGGTATCATTTGTATCCCGCTCTCTCCTCAGATGGAGGAGACAGTTCTTAGCCCATGGAAGAAACAAGCATATAGAAGGTCTGTCTGGTAAACTCCGTGGCATGAAATGCTATGGAGTAGTGAATATAAGTGTGATGATAAATAAAAGCTATAGTAAAAGGTAACTGACAGTTTTTACACTTCTTTAATTAAAAGCATTATAGTGGTGTGATAAGACACAAAGTGTAGAACAATAACACAATTCCCCCGCCCCCCTGATATTTTTTACTTTGCTGCTGCAAAACAAAGTGAAAGCACAAGCACAGTTAGTAAAAATACTTAAAAGCAGATGTTTCATTTCTTCCAGCAGTATCTGAGGCATTCCTTTCGCTATTCCTTTTTTCTCCCCTCTCCTCCATCATTTTACTAGAGGAGAACCCTATTTTTACTCACAGTGGCATAAGGACAAAATTCTCACTTTATATGGAAGGAAGCTTGGGCTGTATATGTTTATCTTAGAAAATTACTCCAATGTTTCTTAAAGCAACAAACTGATTTGAAGTCATATGCCTTTCAATTAAGTTATAAACCTACCCCTTGCAAAATCTGTTTTAAGAGTAGAAACTACTGTTAAAACCTGATTCACAATGATATTCAGTAACACAAAATAAATTGTGTTCAAGTTAAGACTTGAGAGTCTTGAAGAGTTGCATTTCATGGGGAGCAGGGAGGAAGAAAGGAGAGATAAGATTGATCCATGTTCCACATCTGGACCTTTTTTCCAGTACTTCTCGTGAGGTCTAGATGGCCAAAAGCAGAGGGTACTCCTCATTTGTTTGTACTAAGATTGTGAGAGCAGGTGAGAATGAAAAGGCACACAATAGCTGATGTGAGGCAAAGTTTCACGTTTGCCGCTTTAGAAGTCTGTGTTACTGCTGGTAGTTCAGACTTGAGATCAACAAGAAGATGGCAAGACTATTTCTGTTGTATCTTGGAAAAAAATTCCACAAAAGTCCAGGTATCTAGCTTTAAGCGAAAATCTGTTTTTATTCATACTGATCCCATAAATTACAGATGTTACCAAAATATATACACAATTGCTCTTGTTGTTCTGGAAAATTATTTATACATTATTCTTTCTAAGAGAAAATGACTTATTGTCTGCAGTTCGCTTTGAATCACTTAGATTAATGAACAGAGATATGTTAATTAGTTTGAAATCTGCTCCCATGTATCAGAAGTATCTCATTACTTTCCATTCACTTGCTTTCAGCTATAGTACGGGTGAGAAGAGAGAGTAACAAAGGAGAAATGAAAGCAAAATCCAGGTCTTGCTGATTCAAGAAGGTTTTGTTTGCATCCCAGATGTCTAATTTGTACCTACTCAAGAGTGTAAGGTGCTCAAGTGTTCATATGTGTTTTAAGGACTGTGCATGCTTTAACCTTATGTTCTGCAGACAAGAATTAAATGTTGAATGAGCCTGCATACATGAAATACAGTGACCTTGGAACTGCCTGTTTATTATTCTAATTAACACAGTTTTTAAGGATAATTGAGTGGAAAAAACCCAACAAAACCAAACAACCCAAACCCAGCCCTCAAGTGTCTGAAATAAAAAAAATTAAAAAGGCAATTTACCACTTATACAAAAACTAGTTATTCTGCTTATTAAATTAGTCTGATAGGCATATAATATTCTGTTTTGTAGCACAAATTGCCCAGTGATCAGCAAATGCTGCAGCTCTTCAGTAACTATTTTAAAAATAGTGCTCCCCGGTCTGTGTTTGCCAGATAGTATCCAAACTCTGTCAGGCCAGGATTTTTTCTCTGTAGACTTTCAGGTAGTACTTGCTGTAGTATCCGAGTGCCTCACGCACAAATAGATTTACTTCTGCAAGTATTTTGTGAGAGGGGTAAGTTTTACCAACCCTCTCTTCCAATGGCAAAATGGAGACAGCCTTTTTGATGCCAAAAGTTTTGTCTGTTTTCTTTCTGGAACTCTGTTCTCTTCCCAGCCTTGCCTGCCTTCCTTCCACAGCTTTCTGCTGTGGTGGCAGATAAAAATCTATGCTAAATGTAGCTCATCTTTGTAAAATGAGCAAACTTTGGACCCCTATGGCATATATAAACTCGGAGGGATGACACTGCTTTAAAATAGAAACTAAAGCAATGGTGTGAAAGATGATGTTTAAACAGAAACTCTTTAACATAATAAATCCTAATTTCCCCAACCACTTTAATGTCTTTAGTTATCCTTATATGCTGTTCTTAGAAGCAAAACATTTTGTTATACTCTTGTATTTACAGCAATTCTATGGACGTTACTTTTGCAAGTAAAATTTATCCCTGCTGGACCCCACTGAATCAAACGACCTCCAAGCCAGAAAGGATTTGGCTTTTTATCAGTGAGGACAGCAATTCTGACTTGCAGGAGACTATTTATAATCCCCAGGGAGAAGATTCCTGGTTTACATGGTATTGATAACAGAAGGAGGCCCAAGAATAATGTCAGAATGGCTTCCAGGAAATGCTGATTTACAAAGATGACAAAAAACCCCCCAAGCTACTGCATCTTTAACCCATCAGGTGTTCACATGATTACTAATTTTTCCAGTATGTGAAGTTCAGTCAGTTGAGTAAGGAGAACTCAGCTAGAAGAGAAGAAGGAAAAGATTAGTTTCACGGCAGTTAACTGCTGTTCATTCAGAAATAACTGCAGATGGAACCTTCTCTGGCTCAAGGTAACTGCAGTGTAATTTTGACAATGTAACAGAAACTGTTAAGGATCTGAGGATCTTGTTTCTAATTCTTTGCAAAATAGACGAATACTCATTAGAAAACACTGTGTGGGAAACAGTTGCAATAAAAGTGATATACATTTTTATACGAACTTCTGTGGTTCTTGCAGCCTATAGATATGTGTAGTGGTGTTCTCACTGGAGTGTTTTCCTGATGTTAGGGGAATCTGGGGGTGGGGCGAATAGAAGAGAAGTCATTGAGACTGCAGGAAGTATCTCTTGCCAAGGCTGAGTTACTGAGTTGTGGGCTATTTTGTCCTGCTGCAGATTTCACTCTTGTTCTCTGCATCTCACACGGTGCCTTTTATTGATATCTCATGAAAGAAAAGTGTTATTTCAATACTGCAGACTGGCTGCTTACTGTACTTAGCCAGCTCTTCCCCAGGGTAGATTATATTGTATGAATTTGGGTTGATAAAGAAAAAACTCCATATTTTCCTCATTCTGATTTAGCAAGGTAAATAGAATGGAAAAAGGAAGGAAGGAATTCTTAAAACATTCCAGAACTATTTTCTCCCCCAATTCCTATCTGAACTTAAAAACATTTCTAGCAAGAGCCTCTAGAAATCTACCTACCATCTAGCAGCACTAAACCACTTCTCTGGTACCCATAAAACTGCAGGATGATTGTATTTGATTCTCCCAGTTCATTACCACTTTATTTTTGTGTGGTTGTGATCCCAAAAGATGTTGATGTTCACAGCTAGTTTATCAGCTCTGGACAGAGCTGGTTTGAGAATTTTTGTGCGTGCCAAAAGAAAGCAAAAATGTTTGGACCCTGATGATAAACAAAAGTGAAGCCAACTATTCTTTTCACTGCTGCAACTTTGGGAAATGCCAATGTATACATAGTTCACAAATGCAGTTTAGAAGGTCAGAACTGTTTTCATATGTATTAACCAAACCACAGATGAGCGGGGACATGTCTCAGTTTGGGTGTGGTAGGTTTTAACCCGGAATTTTCATTCAGGCTAGTATTTCGATTTTAGCTGAAGAACTAGTTTGTTATGAGCACTATCAGAGAAAAAGGTGAAGAAGCAAAAAAGATATTTTGCTCTTGAACAGATCTTCAGCTTGGTGTATATTAAAGAACTCCTCTATTTGTATATAAAGTTTAAGTGTGCTTCCAGTCATCAGCAATCATGATTCTGGTTTAGTTTTGTTCTGTTTGTGAGTGAAGAGGAGTGTTTACAGAGAGGCATTTGAAGGGGAGTTGACAGGCTTTTAAATACATAACCATTTTAAGGTCATAAATCATTGAACATGCAGAAAACTAAAAGCTAGTATTAATAAGGAGGTTTTGTTTTAAAGTTATTAAAGCCAAACCACTGCTGTGTTTCCTGATAGAAGTCAGCTGGACAAATCCCCAGCAGGTACGCACTGATGCTGCAAGCACTCTAACCCATGATCATTCAGAACACAATTTCTAGTCAGTAAGTAAAAGAGGAAATATTCTTAATAGGACAGTGGCACAGTATTTTCTCAATCTTTCTATATACTTAGTGAATATTAGTTTTAGTTGCTAAAAATGTTTAAGTTGAATCTTTGGTACCCCATGTAGAAACTTGCAGCGCTGAAAAGTTGTACAAAAGTTGAATTTGAATTTTTATGTTCCTTGTGTAGCTTCCCTGAGCAAGTCAAGTCCTTTGTGCTATCTACAGAATTAGTGCCACCATTAGGTATTTGTCAGTGTAAAAGCTTTGTTTGTGCAAGACCTCTGAGATCTTTCAATTATGATATTCATGGTTCATTGGCCAGCGTGTCAGACACAGTGCTTCCAAGTATGGTTCCAGCATCCTGACCCATTTAGAACAGGAAATGTCCACACCATTGTTTCAGAATGTAATACAGCAAGTGATAAGAGCTCTGTTTTTTTCCTAATTGTACAGGCAACCTTTTTATAACCAGCATCTGTGTTGTACGTGTCCCATTTGCTTAGTATTAACTTATGAATGGAAAAATTTACAACATACAGCAGTTTCGATCACTGTAGGACTCAGGTGTTCCCTCAGCACAGCATAAACGCTTGGAGACATTGGAAGAAGATCTGATGGAGAATGTTGATCTGTAGAATCATTTAAGCTTAAAACAAAAACAAACACAAAAAAGCATCTTAAAAGCAACGCAAGTCCCTCTAACTTGATGGACAACAGTGGAGTGTGGTGAATGCTTATTAAGTCAGTTAAGCCTGTACTCGGGCTTGCTGTTGGCCCTGTAAGCACGTGCCAACGACGTGGTATACATTTAAAAATGTAGGAGATAAGAGCAAGGGATGAGAGAATAAACCTAACTCTGTAATATCAGCTACTAGAGAGAAAAAGGAGACAGTGAAAGAAGTAGATCAGAGTACTGTAAAGTCTGCTTTAAATTTTTACAAATGTTTTGCCACACGTATGGGAAAAGCACTGTAGAAGCAAAGTTCTCTACTTCCCTTTCTTGTCTTGAGCAGTCCTTGGCCAAATAAAAACATGCGATGTGTTGCTATCCCAACTATTTGAAAAGGGGAAGGGAGGCAGGGAAAACTGAAGCAGTGTGTAAAATTACTTAAAATAATGCTTGGAGTGTAATACATCTGTAAGGATACTTACATTTTGGAGACTGGGATAAATACAGAAGGAACATAACCTTTGCCTCCTCCATCTGAGGGCTTTGAGACTAAAAATAAATATTAGAAAAATTAAATATTGCTTCATAAGTTTATTACTTATTTGAAATAGATTATCTGCTTTAAGTGCTGTGGAACATAATATATTGAAAAATAAATGTCCCTGTCTATGCTTAAATAAGCAGCCAGAAAAATTAGGGGAATTCCTGAGATTAGTCTTTGAGTTCAGGTCTTAGTCACATAATTGGCTGTGCTCCCTCAATGTGAACTGTCATCTTTGAATATAATACAGTAACTGATAAAAGAAATCTTAGGGCTTCAAAAGCAAATATACTGTAACTCGACAAGCTCGATACTTCACAGCCTCTAGATTTCAGCAGAGCTCTACAGATACAGCTTCAGCCATGTCTTCTGCAGGAAATTAAGCATATACACAGATTTTTAGTAGATTAGGCAAAGTCCACTGGATTAAAATGAATAGGAAAAACATTTGTAGCCTCCAAATATTTTTGAGTAGTGTAGGAATTTGAATTCAAATGGAATTGTAACCTTTCATACTGAAAATCCAGAAGAATGTATATTATCTCTTAAAAACAAATCAAGGCTTTGAGGGCTTTTTTGAGAAAAAGCAAGTTTAATCTAAAAATGGCCTGACTTGTAACTGGGGCAAGAGCGAGCGTGGGTCTGAACGTATTTGGAGCCATTCTTGTCTAGCCTTTTTGTATTTTCCAGTGCAGCTGCCAGGGGCGATACTTCTGGAATAAGGCACATCTTTCAAGCTGTTTGGAAAATACAGAATTCCCTTGAAACTTAAGAGGCAGAATGCTACCGTGTAACACAATTTTGAAGCTGATAAGCAGGATGACTTTTCAGTTTCATCTCCTTTGAAGACCCAAGCACTGAATTTCGTAATGCATCGGTCAGGAAAAAAAAAAATCCCGTTTTTTGACTTTCTACCCTAAGATCTATTTCTTAGCTTCTTTTAAATATTGTTGTCCTCGCCTCTAATGTAACCTCTAAGACCAGGGATATGTTTACAAAATGAAGCTGTCTAAATGATAGACGTGTTAAAAGAGTTCTCTTGAAGATGCTGATTAAAGGAGGCATCTTAATCTGTTTCCTTCCTTCTCCCCCGCCATTCCTCAAATTGCCTCTTGACTTTGGGGCTGCTTTGCAGAAAGGGTAAATACAGAAATGGAGCCCAACCTTCGTTTGGCTGACAGCTGTAGTGTTTGCCAAAGGCCTTATCTTTGGGAATGTCTGGATACAGATACTTCAGAGGGTTTTCAGGAACGTTGTCTGCCATGATAACTTTGTAATCGCGCAGTATGTCGGCAAAAGGCAGTGCAGATAAGCGACCTTTGTTATATGGTTCCACAGAATGAAATGTTACGTCTCCTGTAAAAATACAAAGGCACCATAACCCCTGATAACTGGTAGACCAGCATCTGCAGTTGGAATGGATTTTTTCCTTTCTTATGCAGTTTACACTGGGGTGCGTTTTACCTCTTTGTACAAATGTTAGTATCTTCCAAGTTTCTGCACAGGTGGAAACAAATTTAAAGCCTGCAGTGAGTAAGTACACCTCCTAATGAACTTACATAGTTAATATAAAGAACTGAGAGGTAGACTTTCCAGAGGTGGAAAAACACAGTTTTGGTTTACGTTTCAGTAAATATGATACAGGTATCTGCCCAAAACCATACTAAGGCAGGATACACATGAATTTTACTTTTAAACCAAAGAAACTGTGGCTCCTGTATTATAGCTCTATTGCAGACTTTGAGGATTATTTATTTTATTAATTTTTTAAATTTTACTTACCATTTTCTAACTGATCGACCCAAGTAAAGGTAATTCCACCCAGATTGCTTTCACTGAACCTTAATAAAAATGTTCCTGGTGTCTTGTCTTTGAGCAAAATTCGTTCCTTCTCTTTACTTACAAATCCCATGACGTACCTGAAGTGTAACAGGAAATAATGGGTTTGCTTTTGGAAAAAAATACAGACTTCAATCTGTGCAATGCATCTGGTCAAACTTTATATAGGGGTTCAAAGCCTGGTTACTAAAGCTTTATAAGATCTTGAAACTATGACAAAAGCTTCACGTGAGTTACGTGTGGAATATGGCATTGAGCTCAAAATATTATGAAGCATGATAATATTTATCACAGCATTTGATTGTTCACTGACAGAACTGATAAACAGATCTAAACCTGTTTCTAAGAGATTCAATGGTGTTCCCTTTTGGAAAAAAATTCAAGAAGCTATAAACAGGAAGAGGGAGACAGAAGTCAAAGCAGAGAGAGATCAGTATTCCTTGTTGCTCACCCATCAATCCAAAGAGGAAGAATGTGTTTTTTAATTAAGTCCAGGATGGCTTCCAGCCAAACCCAAAAGGTAAAAGACTTTCCAGGCAAATGTTCCTAATGGTTTAAAACAAACAAACAAAAAAATAAAACAAAGGCAAAACATAAACAAAACCAACACACACAAGAAGAGAATTGTGAGAATGTCGTTACCCAACATCCACATGATGTGGCTATCTCAGTTTCTTAAGACTAATCTAGTTTGTTCCAGCAAGAATGACAAATCTGAACTGCTGTTTTAAGTAATGTCCCTCAGCCTGACAGAAAAACAATTGATTTTTAAGATATGTATTGTAAGTGCCTCACTTTTCAAGGGGAAAAAAAAAAATCACTTCTGTTGTTTCTTCCTGGTTATGAAGTTATGTTTTGATAGAAATGATGATGAGAAAGTTGAACTTCCTCTCAAGGTTCTATATGTGTTTAAGTATTGTAGTTAATATGAATAAAATGAGTTCACCCTTCTTTCTCAATAACTTTTCTGTTCCTCATCAAAGTTACTGAATACATCAACCACCTTGAAATGATTTAGGTCATAACTAAGCACATGAAAAAAAAATACTGTTTGCTTTATGAAAAATTTATTGTATGCTTTGATAGCACAATCTATTGGTCATTTACAGAATTACATAAGGCACGCTATAATGACAGTTTCTGATCTCTGAAGCAATGGAACTAACTAGCTCTCTTAGCCCAAGCTTACTTTTACAATGAATGTGATTTTGCTGGGCTATAAAACCCACATATGGGACAAGCGGAAGTTTTATCAGTAGCATCAGAGAGACAGTCAGGCACGCATGCAGGTGTTAAGAGAAAGAAGACTCTAGTTTTACTTTTGGAACCATACCTTGCAGAACTTTGCCCAGGATAGTTGATAATCATTGTAACTGACTTGTTGTCCTGAGAAAACAAAAAAAATTGTGAGTCTATTTTCCTGCAGCTTTGAAAGAGCTATAGCTTGATAACTGTATTGTTGGTGGGGGTAGTACAGTGCATCCAGACTTGGAGAGAGATTGAGAGGGGCATGCTAATGGCTGCAGATCAGTTTTTCTGTATCCTTTTTGAAGTAGCTGATAATGGTATTTTGGCAATATTTGCCTAAAGTAGTCTGGGACTTTGTTTCAGCATCACTGGGTGCTCAGTTTCAGTTTTTAGCCTGAGTGTTACTTCTCTTGGCCTTTGCTCTAGCTTGAGCTTCCATGTTTTAAGATTATTTTTTTCTTTCTTACGATTCTTGCTGTTTTACAATGGCACTTCTCAACTTCACTACGTCCACTAAGCAAGAAATCTCAAAGAAACCATCAGAGAAAGTGACTTATCCAGGGAAACCAGTCTTCAATTCTCAGCTTTGAAAGTTATAAAAGTAGATTCCCCCCAGTCTCTGCCAAATGCTTTTGTTCTTGCCTGACAGTAGAGGTATCACTTCACCCTCAGCTTGGACTTTTTTACAGCTCACAATATATTTTAACTGTTTCCTCTCCAGAAACAGATAAGGCTTTCTTTTCTTCTACCAGCTTTCTCTAAGGCCTCTCCCTTCTGGGGAACAGTCAGATCAAAGTGTTCAACAGTTGATCTTGTTGAAGTTACAGGGCCTCTTTGCTATGCTGTCACCAGTGAAGCATGGGTCCTGCAGCTAAACAGACCCACAAGGACAAGTACTTAAAATGAAACAAAACCCAAACCAAACCCCATAAGCAAGCAAAAAGACTTCCTTTTGGTTTCAGATGCATGAGATAATAACTTGCTAAGGAAAGAAAATAACATCACAGTTCAGTGTGACTTGAATGCCCTCTTTCTTCAGTTTAGCAGCCTCGAAGTTCAGAAGTTGAATCACTTTGTGGTAAGAATAGCTGACATGTGCTTCTCTTTAAAGAAAAATAAATGTCATTGCAGCATTTTTGAAGTCTGCTCTGGAAGCAGATGTCATGCTTAGGGTCATTACCTGTGACTATCAACTATAACAGCCCAAAAAGCAAATAAAATATGCATATTTCTACAGTCTTACCCATAAGTTTCTCTGCCAGCATGTTGAGCTGCTCAGAATTGAGTCCACGACCAACATATGATGAAAATTGCCAGCTCAGTACTTCTAAGAGCTGACTTAAAGTGGCAGCAGGGGGATTGTTGAAGAAAGACAAATTCTGCAACAGAATTAGTGCTTTGTTTAGACAGTTAGAAACTATGAAATACAATAAAAAGAAGGCTGCAAGTACTTGAGTAGAATCGAGAAGTGTCAAAAATGAGGTGTGTGCGTGGGATGCATTGGGGTAAATAAGTGCTGGCCTTCCCACCTGCAGCCACCCAGCAAGGTCCACGGGGTGCCTGGGCAGAGGTGTAAGGGGAGGGAAGGCGGGGGGACAACTCCTAGAGAGAGCGAGAGTCTGTGTGCATCTTGGGTGATAAAATACCTTGCTATGCTTCTCAGAGTATCATATGTTAAGATAGTGAAAATATGCTTAAAGCCAATCCAATACATGTAGATACTCTCGCTATAATGTATTGTGCACAGAAATCCCAAACCATTACACAGTCATATTGTGGTTTATTGTTGAATCGTTTGTCTTGTTTTTCATTTGGTTTCTGGACTGTACATGTAATGAACACACTGAACACTGTGCAGAAGACTCTCTGGAGTATCACAGAGTGATAATGAAGTCCAGGCTGCTGCTGATCAGCTGGCCTGCCATCATTCTTAGATGCACTCCATGGTAAACTATCTTACCCTTTCTCTCCTCTGAACATCTATGTGACTGCTACTAATCCCCAAGAGAAAGCTACTGACAGCACTATTCTACAATCTGCACATACTGTAACAGCGACTGAATCTAAAATATGTGCTGAGCCAGCAGGAGCCCAAGAATGATTCTGCTTTTGCTCTTGGTTAGGGTCACTAGAAGGTGCTACCTGACACGTACAATCTCCATAGAAAGCACTAGCTCCGATGGGAAAGCCGCACTTAAGTACACTGAAGACCCGCCTATACACCTACTTTGACAGTTTTGAATTGTACTAGTAGAATTATTTCATACCATGTACATTTTTGGTCAACTGCATCCAGAAAAGAGAAGCTAAAGCTGTGGAAAAGGGCTATCACATTTCCTTGGTTTAAGAACTACTACTTTAACCTACAAAAAGGAGACTGTGCACATGGTTTTATATCTGGGAAGGGAACAAAAGACAAAATGAGCAGTATTGCAGTATGATGTTGATAATGGTGTACATGAGAAAAATAAGGCCTATTTAAGAGGGGAAACACAGGCTTTTTATAATGAAAATATTTGATAACCAAATAATAGAAATGTAGAAATGCAGAAAGTCAGTACTTGCACACTGAAGACCTACCTGAGGATCGTTGGTTGATAGATTGTACCAAATAATAGAAGCCCATGCGTTGGGTAGTTGGCTGACATTGGAAATCATCACCACAGGCAAAGAGCTGGTCTGGTGGAAAGAACAAATGCTGTATGTAAATGCTGCTAAGAAAAGTGTTAGTGCTGTGTGATGCCTTGTTTTCTTTTAGCCACCTTCTTCTTCCTCTTGTTCCTCCACCCCTTGAAATACAGTTCTTTAGCCTGTGGAGCCAGGACCAACCCTTGGTAACTGATGTCTGGCTTGTATTTCAAGAGAGAAGTGGTGTTTCAAAGGGCATTCAGGACTCAGGTTAGCTGGACCTAGACAGAAAGCCTAACCGTAGCCGCATTACAACTGTATGGGCATGGCAGCCCACAGCCAGAAGAGTGATTTGTGGCAGTCCTCAGGACTGGAAGAGGTTCTACAGGTCCATTTTAGGTACACAGGGGGTGTCCTTAGCCTATGACTTGCAGCTGGTATCACAGACTTTCTCTAATGTGTTATTTTTATAATGCTTAAGGGAGGGATGTGCCTGCCAGGGAATATATTTGAGCTTTTGAAGAGAAGGGCTAAAAACATTGCTGTAAAGCTGTGCATACTTCTTTCTGTCCAGAAGGTCTGGAAATTTTGTGTCTGCTTATGGTTACTGCTGAAGACAAAATCTAGGATAGATGGTGGTCTGGCCCCACACAGTTGTTCTCATGTAAGCTGCTGGAAAATGCTATTTATTCTTGGCCCAGAAAATCTGGCTAGAATACTCACTTCCAGATTGATAGTCAATCCATACAGGCAGACCTGTGTTTCAAAGCTGATGGAGTGCAGTTCCTCGGTCACCATGTGAGGGCCCTGAGGGAGTTAAGTAGGTTATTAAACTGTGAATGCACAGTTGGCATTTAACACTGTTTAGTGATCTGTCTGCTGAAATTACACAAATTTGAAAGAAAACTTGTATCAAACATGTAAGCAGAGCAGGGAAAGAAGGAAGTGAAGGACATAATTTGTTTGTTAAATGCTGACATTAAATTAGTCCACAACTGGTGGTTCTTCCTGATGAATCTAAAAATCCTCCTTGACATTGTTAGAGCAACACTTTTTTTTTTTTCCTTTTAATTTGTTTAAAACATTGGTTTTAAACAGAGTTGCACACAAAAAATTAACAGGTTATTCTTTGTGTCTGATAAAGATTGTGTCCAACTTTTCCTAAAGTTTCTTCACTGATTGACCTTTCCAATTTAAACAGAGATGTTAAACTTCAAGGAGAAACAAATTAGAAACAAAACGCCATGGCTTTAGTGGCAAGTAGGCCCTCATTTTACAAGTTTGCTGTAAGTATACCTTACATTGTACTAGTTGAAGGACTGGAGACCTAAATCATTAATCCAAAGTAAATCTGGTATTAAAAACCCAAGTTTTTCTTGAACAGGGGAAAAAAAAAAAAACATTTGTCATAGTTGATTAAAGCTTGTAGTACAAGCATTTTGTTTTGATTACAAACCAGCATAGCTCTGTAAAGATCCAAATCTCTGCCCTTGCGAAACAGATCTTTTGTAATACATTTCCATTCCCAGGAGTCAAAGTATAAAATCTTTGTCCTTTTCCTGTTTTGTTTTGGTTTTTTTTTTCTTCCATCACATATTTGTTTTATCAGATTCTTCTTTTAAAAAAGAAACAAAATAAAAAATCCCAAATCAAAATGTTTCCATTTACTGAAATATTCTGCTTTCAGTCAATGTGAAATAAAACTGCTCCTCAGGGAAGTGCCTCACACAGGGCACACTGCAACAAAAGATAGTGTGTAAAAGAAAGGCTGAAACCACAGGAAATCCTCAGGCATCTGAATAATAAATCTGCCTTGCAAAGGGAAAATCCATCTTAGAGCTGAAGGCCTTTACATTAAATACTCAACCATCAAATGATCTCAAAGGTTTTAATACAGCTCAACCTGTATTGCTCACACAAAGTTGAAAACTCCCCTTCCCTCTACCCCCGTTATCATTTTGCAAAAAGTTAAATTTCTATTACGAAAAAGTCATCTAGTCAAAAAGGCATATCTGCATGAAAGGACAGATCTCAGAGAGATTTGTAGAGAGCTTCCACTTTTTTTTTTTTTTTTGAGTAAAGTAATTTAACAACTACACTCTCAGCTTACTAAACATCCTATAAACAAACCAAGTTTTAAAATTATTATAGTCGCTGTTACCCAAAAAACTTGTTCATGCTCATAATGATTTCACAGACTGTGATTTGACCAAGGAGAAGCTCTGTTTGAGGAAATCAGTTAGCACTGAACAATGTCACAGCTCAGCTATCCTAATTCTCCACAGCCCTGTATTTTATATAGCTATAAAGGCACAGTGTGTGAAAGTGGGAGTAAAATGCTACCAAAAGTAGAGCACCAACGTTTTTACACCTACATTTTTGCATTTGCCTGTCTTGATGCAAATGACTTTGTAAGTAGTGAAGTAATTGAGAGGCCAGCCTTGAGTTTCAGTCTTGCTAATCAGGTTGCAAGTTATTCTTTTCGGAAGTACCCTGTTAAGTGTGCACAAGTACCTTCTGCTTTAGGTTTTTGGTTAAAATTCTCCATGCTGATTACACCTTTGCTTTGTACTTAAAGACTGCTTGTAATAGCTTTTGTGCTTGTATAGCTACACCTATTTGGACTGTGATATGATGAGATGAGGGTTGGGGTTTTTTGGGGGGGGGTTTGTTTGGTTTTTTTTAAATTTCTTTTGAAACTTGCAAATACAACTCATGCCTATTTGGACTGTGATATGCTGAGATGAGGGTTGGGGTTTTTTTGGGGGGGGTTTGTTTGTTTTTTTTCAAATTTCTTTTGAAACTTGCAAATACAACTCAGCACTTCTACTGTGCAAAAAAGTTACACTGGTGTGGAGATACCCTAAACAAGTATAGGCAATTTCACTTCCTAAGTAGGTGACATTCATAGAAGCCTCTTACTATTTCAGTTACCTTGGGAGACACTGACTGTTCTGGTAGCACTGGCAGAGGCCGTATCATTGGCTGCAAACTTCTGACTCCTGCTTCAGTCAGATTTATCTGCAGACTTTTTCTGTGAAATAGCAATGCTAAATTTATGGTGATGGTCCGTGGCCACCCTAGAGTTTGTGTGTACTTGTGCCTTTCTCCTCCCTGCCTACTGTCTTCTGTTGCTGGATAAGGACATTCCCTGCCAGGGAAGTTCTGCCTTCCCCTCCTATCAGGGATGTAGTAGGTGAATGAATTAAGGCAGCAACTTTCTTGCCTGTGATTCTGATTTTGTCTGAGAGAGCCAGGCTGCTCGGGGGAATCACTGTCTGTAGGAAGCCAGAGCTGAGAAGAAGGATATAGGATGGAGCTGGGCAGATGGTGAGGAGCTGGGCAGGGGATGAAGCACAGGGTGGTGGTCTGGCTGTGCAGGGTGCTGGAGGGTGATACAGGAACGGAGGGAGGTGGGTGTATGGACACAGAATTCTAGGTGTGCAGGAGTGCCGATGTTGATACTACTGATTTCCGTTCTCCACAAAGCAAGAATGTATGGATTTTAAGCTCCTCTGCTAGGAAGCAAGCACCTGCAATAGGTGTTCACCTTACATGCCAGGTGGTATGTGCAAGTCTGACATCTGGGTACCTCAAAGCACTTGGTGGTTTGTGAGGGCTAACATGTCATAGTACAGTGTCACCACGAGAGGGGAACCTACCACCGGATTCACAGGAGTACTGGTAAACTAAGCACGCTGGTCCCGGTTGCGGCAAGCAAGCTTTTTTGATGCAAATATAATTATACCCTTACTTCAGCTGTAAACTTGGCCAACAGAATATATATTTAAAGAGCTATAGGGAAAATTGCTTTGGTGAAAAACTAAAAACGTTTATTTTTTAAAAAATGTAAATGACCAAAAAGGTGGCCCTGAACAGGAATGGGACATTCAGATTACTACTTCCTACCTTCTATTGTAACTTTTTAATACAAAATTTGATGCATGTAACTAAAATTTCTGAGTACTTACTTTACTTAGAAAAGTTCTCATCATACCATCACGTGATTACTGATCCTCTACTTAATATACAGATAATATATTTCAAAATCTAACAGCATATGGTTGCTTTTTGATTTAAATAAAATCTAATCTGAAATATTTGTGAGAGTAATCAAAATAACATGTAAAATAAATGCACAAACCTCATTTCCTTTGCTTCCAGCACTTGATTTCATTTCTTTGGGTTGCTGTATGAAGCAAAACAGTATTTATGTGGCAAAGAAACTGCAGATTCAAGTACATATAAAGACCATAATTTGTAACCATGATGCTCTTAGTATAATAAAGTTTTGTTTACAATACACAAATACACTGTAATGAAAGCTCTGATATTATGCCTCAAAATGTCTATTCAGTGAATAGTCTTTTGATATTTTTAAAGAAACTAAATAAATGTAACAAAGCTTTAATTAGGGTGCTTGCAAATTGTATAACACAAAAAAGCACTAAAGACCATCAATCTCCATCTCCTTCTGCAAAACTACACTGATGCACTGCATCAGTGGTTAAGCCACAAAAAAAAAAACAAACCCCAAACGAAAAACAACCAACCCATAGGTGAGGGAGTCTAGTCAGAAAGCATGACTCCCTGGGACACAAGAGAAGTTAGAGAAGCAGTACTATAGTCTCTCAAAAGGCAGTTATTGCAGGCATTAATTTCAACCAGATCTAAAACATTCAATGATATATTTCCCCCAGACAATGGTGGTGTGGTTTCTTTTTGTTTGGTTTGACTTTTTTTTTAAAACAAAACTAAGTTTCTCAGAAGCTGTGTAGTTCATCTTTGCCTTTTCCAGCATTATTAGGGTTTGCTTTGTCATTTCTATAAATAAAAATAGTCTTATTTTATGGAATAAATAATCTTATTTTATGGAATGGGATAAAGACTTGACAGTTAATACAGTTCTCCCTGCATAGTTTTTAAAGAATCCTTTATTTCTTTACCAGAGGTGCATGACAGAAACAAAGCAGTCCAACTTACCAAATGTCGAAATTCTACTGACAGGCTTCCATTTGCAGATTCGTCCATGTTCATTGCTTTCACGTGTGTTCCACACAGAACGAATCTACGATTACTACGGAGGACACCACACTTACATACTCAAGTAATAACGCATTGGAAAAATTAAGAAATTTGATATTTTATTTTCTTACCTTACAGTTGAAACATTCCTAAAATAGAAGAGGGGAAGGGGGAGGAAACAGAATGTGAAACAGTAAATGTGTAAGCCATAACTGCACTGAGAAACTTATCTCAACTGAGATGGTAGATTTTGCCTTGTTAAAGTTAATTCATATTACTGATACAACTGCAAGTTTTAAAATGAAGAACTGAAATTTGTACTGTCCAGTTAAGACTTTTTTTTTTTTTTTAATCCGGCCATATGCAAGCAGAGTATTTTATCTAGCTCTTTTTCTGACACATGTGGGTATCAAAGTACCAAATCCCTTAGGAAGAGGGAGTTTATGTAGCAGTCTTAATTTCAGGCAAAAGTAAAACTCTAAGCTCTGTAGTTACTAATGACAGCACCGGCTCTTCAAGCACAAGTTTCACGTACCACTTGGAGCCGCTGCATTGGAGGTACTGAGTCTCTTATCACAAGCAGAGATTAAGAGCTGTTTCAAAACTAACTTTCCCATAAATGTAACACACTTTGATTTAAAGTTTTTGTGATGCTGCTATCTCAAACTGATGAATTTTATCTAAGTCTTGAAACAAATCTTAAATGGACTTCTTGCCTCCAATTTGAAAACATCAATTAAAAATAGCAGCTTTTTAAAAAAAAAACCCAACCAACCAAAACAAACCAAAAAGCCCCCCCAAACCAAAGAAACCTTGCACATTAAAGAAAGCAAAGCATTACCCTAAGGTTTTAACTGTTTTTTTGTTGTTGTTTTGTTTTTCCTTTTTAGAGCAACTTCTAAATCAGATTGGGTAGGGATTGAAAAACCTGTGTTGTCTCTGTAAGGAGAGAGAGAGAATATCTTCACTTTAAAGTTTCTTACTTGTCAATAGTTGCTTTCACTCTGATCTGGTAGTTTAGCTCTGGCAATTTAATTAGCAACCTTCAAAACAGAAAATGTAAAAGTGAATATTAACAGAGCAAGTTTATCACCAGAAAATATTGGAGACCAGTAGCTCCACACCAAAGTATCTGAAATTATTATAATCTGAAAACAGGCCAGGCATCTAGGATTATACCACATTTTACAGGGTTCTATACTTAGAAAGAGGGGCTGAGCTGTGCCAGTGGCAGCTGTTCTACCCACCCTGCAAGTATGTGGAAAAATTAGTATGTGTTTGAGGGAATGGCTAGAGAGACGACACAGAGGTAATAATGAAGAGGTGGATATGTATGATCTGTGGCTGCACTGTAGGTGTATGTGTACTTTTCTTCATGTACCCTTTCCACCCTCCAACCCTCCATGCATTCTTTTTGCTGCAAGGTGGAAATGAGATGTGAGTTCCTCTCCCATCTTTGCTCTTCTCACAAAGTCGGGCGAGGAGCTAGTGGGAGAGAGTGAGCTTGTCACTGATTCACCAGAGCCCCCCAAAATGCAGAAGTTTCTCTTTCCTACATGCAAAAGTGGCTCTGAGGATTCTGATGTTGACTTGTATGATGTGGATCATTATTTACCTGGTCATTATTTACCTAAGTCATTAAAACAAGAATTCAATGCATACAGAATCCTGAGGGTGCTGACTTTTGGTCACAATGTGCCTTTCTTCCTCACACTGATTTACTCTTTATTGCCCCTTGTTACAAGTGACAGATTCAGTGGCCTTTATATCCCCATTCCAGAAAACCTTCCCTGGAATCAAATGAATCTCTAACAGAAGTAGGTCTGCTTTGCTTTCTAGATTCTGAAACAGTCTCCTAGGATAAAATGCAGCCCATGAATGAAGGAATTTATGTCCGATTTCCTTTCCTTACCTTAATTTAACAGTGAACTGTATTAATGTTTTAAGAACCATTGGCCTCTGTGGATGTGTTGGCATGCAGGGCTGCCTTTCAACCACGAAGGAACTGTGTGAAAAAAAGTGAAACAGTTTGTTAGGAATATGCACAAACAAACAGCTGTATTAGGGGGAAAATGAGCTGTTATCTCTTAGAGATCTATTTCTCTACAGATGCTGAAGTGGGAGGTATGTATTCCAACACTCAGTTCTCAAACTGATCCAGTGGTCTAACTTACAGCTGAATTGTTCCCATAAGAAACAGATATTTGGAATTCCTTAAAAATCAAAACAAAACAAATTCCATAGTCCTAAAATTCCAGGCTGATAAAAGTCTGGAAGACCAAGACTTTTATCAGAACCATAAAACAGACTACGAAAATACACTGAGCCTGCCTTGAGTGAAATCAAATAATCATTTTATCTTTTTTAATTTCTTATAAAAAAACCTATTGACCATGTTTCAGACAGTCGCTTGCCTTACATCTCATATAGGCAGTACAAAAGGCAAGAGAAATGATTATAATATTTTATATGTTAATAGAATGTCTTGGTGGGGAAAAGGAAAGACAAGGAACAAATTAGCACCTGCCAATTCACTTAAGAACCAAACAATCAAACAAACAAAAACCAAAACCCCCAACCACTTCTCAGCATGTGTGTGACTCCTACTGAAATAAGTGGATTTTGTGTGTTCACCTGGAGTCAGAACTTGACCACAAACCCTTAACTACTATACATGAGAAGCTGCCTGGCACCTTCAGCTTCTAGGAATTTTGGTGACAGTTGCTTCTAGGAATTTTGGTGACAGCTCAGTCTTTAAGATTCTCAGAGACTCAACTCTTTTATATTTTTCTGCTTAACAATATGGTCTCATTGTTGCCAATAAATTTCTGTCAGTTCATGTAAAGTTATGTACATTGACAATGGCTTACGCACTTCCGGAAAAGATTGTAGAGCAGAAAGTTGACTTTTTCCAGCAGCTGAGGTCTTTGCAGTGGGATAGGGTCCCCATCATAAGTCAGTCTGGTCAAGAGTTCATCCAGTTTTTCTAGTTGCCTTCGAACTTGAAAAAGACTCTCTGCCAATAGCGTAAAACTGCAGTGTGACAAAAGGTTAGTTTGCAATCTTCCATGTAAACAGATGCTTAGAGCCTAATGGCTGCTGAAGTTTTTGCTTGGGGAAATCAGAATCAGCACCGATTGGTGCTTTCTACCTTTACCCAAACTCATATCCATTCATCCTTTGTTTACAGGAGTATGTAAATACATCAGGCACAACTTCCTACTTTATTTTCAAAGATAAATATTTTTGCAACAGGCCTCATCAACAGCAAAGCAATGCTGTCTGTGATAATTTAGAAGAAATATATACACAGTTCTGACATTTTACATGCAGGGCACTTGTGCCAATCCTATTTCTTTCCTACAGCTTAGTGGTTTTGCAAAATGTACTCTTTAAAAGGATAATATTTATATAAAATGAAAAAGTTAGGAAGACTGAGGAAGTGCATTTCTAGAAATGTAAAAACAGTAAGAAAAATCAAATCCAAACACACTTCCTAACAGTTTAGTAGCGTATGTGTGTATAACATAGCATCTTTTAGCTATTTTTTAACTTCAGTAGAAAAAAAACCACATCAAAAAGGCAAAAATATACTTTTTCTTCAAACCTAAAAAGATTCTTGGTTGTTTTCCTTTCTTTTTTTCTTCTTATTCTCTACTTTGCCTTCTCCAGAAGAGAGGTTTTGAGAGAGAAATGGCCAGGACTTGACGTTGTCTGGTTGCATTATCTTCTTAAATATAATGCACTTTTTTTTTCCTTTTTTTTTCTTTTTTAATTTGCAATCAACTTTAGAGTTACCACCCCAGAGACTACTGCCATTAAGTTCCTGTGTAGTTTGAAGTCTGGAGGAGTGATGTACCTAGTGAGTCAAAGCATAGTGTCTACCCAACTGTTGCCTAGACAAAACTCCCACTGTCCTCAGTGACAAACTCAGTCAGCGTAGTTCTTACTCAAGCAAAATTCCCAAGAGGGTATGTGTCATGTATTTGGAACAACTGTCAAACCAAAAAATGACTGATTGCCATAGCTCAGGCTCAGCAGTTCACTGAAATGTTATTAATTCTAAATAGCAAATGTTGTCCACTAAAACAAATTGTATTTTTGTTATTTACTTGCTTAGCTGCTATTGAATTTGCTGCTGTTGCAAGGTAGCTGATCTAAAGGAAAGATCATTTCATGTGCAGCAGACTTCCTGTGGTTTTCAGTAGAAACACAAACTCAAGGCAAGTTTACCAGTTCTGGAGCTGATCAAGCCCACCATGGAGGGGACCTCCAATGCAGGCAATCTGCTGCCGTCTCTTCCAGTCTAGTAGCTCTTCAGTCAGCATGTTGCTCATCAGCATATCTATTTCATGAATCACACGCCCTATTTTACTGAGTACTTCCTGTAAAATAGGAAAGGTGTCACAAACAGCCACAAAATTCAGCAATTATCATAAAAGTGCTGATTACATGTCTTTCAATTACTTTGAAAGTAGCTGTATTTTAGCACCTATGGCTTTAGTCTCTTTAATTCAGAGGTGACTGGATTCATCACCCATTGTATTTGAAAGTAATCCTGAATCTCTCTGAACTCTTCCTCAGTAAAACTTATTTTTTTGGGAGTGGGAAGGAGGATTGTTGCATTTTTTTTGTGGGCATAACACCTCCAAAAATTTGACATATACAGGTACTATCAAGGTCAAAAAGTTCTCTTTTTGTTTTGTATCATATCCAGTGCGCTGTTTTTTGGTTTTGTTTTTTTTTTCTTGCTTGCTTTTTTTCTCTAAGAAGCACATAGACTCAAAGAAATTGCCTAAATGTTCTGTTTTCTGTGCCGGGAAAGAAGTGGTCAGGAGAATATTTGTTGTATTTGCAAATCTTAGTCACTGAACAGAGCAAGGTGCCATTGGTGGGTTGTTGAGGGGTTTTTTGCTTGTTTTGGGTTTGTTTGGTGGTTTTTTTCCCAGTTATTAGATTATAATTACTTTGAATACTTTTTGCTTGCTTTAGAAGTTATATATTGCCAATTAAGTCATCTGTTTAGCACAGTACATAAGAGGTCACAGAATCACAGAACAGTAGGGTTTGGAAGGGATCTCTGGAGATCATCTAGTCCAACCCTCCTGCCAAAGCAGGTTCTCCTAGAGCACCTTGCAAGGGCTACATCCAGGTGGGTTTTGAATATCTCCAGAAAAGGAGACTCCACAACCTCTCTGGGCAGCCTGTCCCAGGGCTCTGGCACCCTCACAGTAAAGAAATTTTTCCTTATATTTAAGCAGAACCTCCTGTGTTCCAACTTGTCCTGTGAAGTGATGCCCTCACCTCCCTTCTAAGGTGTGCAAGACCATATCCTTGATTGAGCCATTACTTAATTGCCAGTTTTTTAACTGCCTGTCAAAATCACCCACACACACCCAAAACCTTTTGTGCCTTCGTAACTCCTGTTATTTGTGTGTTGTTCTGAGAGGAGAATTTAAAAAGGCACACATACACATTTAAGTATTTGATGTGGGGGGGAAAAGGAGAGAAAGCAAATGAACCACAAATGACAAAACCTGTCACTAACCTTTCTCTTGTAGTCTAAAGTATTGAGCATTGCCTGCAGCGCCAACATTTCCTGTTTAATGAGGGCGCTGTTTTTGTCACTCTGCTCTGCAGGAGGATAAAAAAAAAATCAGTATAAACGTGTGTGTGTGGGTACACGTGTGTGTGTTTATAAGGGGAGGAGGGGAAAAAACCATGACCTGACTGCAGCATGAAGTAGTGAAAAAATAAACTGCAGACATCAGTAGATTATGTAATAGTGTGTTTCATCTGAATGGACTAACTTTAGTACAAGTACAAGATAAGGCTTTATGACTCCACTCTTCAGATGTGTATATGGAACAGGAAGGTAGAAAACATATGAATGATATCTAGAAATCTATAAATTTCTTATTCATGTGCATACTCATGTGTATTACGTACATCTGGCTTGCATCAATGACTGATCTGCGCACTACTGAAATATGCTTGTGGTGTCAGCAGTTAAATTAAAGCTCTTTGGACTTGATGTGAATTACATGTCTGGCTGAGAGAATGGAGGGTAGGCATTTGAAACAGAGGTAAAGTGTTCATCAACGTGGGGATTTTAGCAGCCAGGAGTACTGATCACTGGGTACTGAGTATTCTCCCCTCTCCATAACTTTTTTCCTTCTCTCAATCATGCATTAGTTTTAAGCTTCCCCAAGTTTGCCCCATGCTCTTTCATAGCAGCTCTTCCCCTCACCCTCATCTTGCCCCACCTTTTGCTCTTCTAGCATCTTTCATGCTACCTTCAAAAAAGAAATTGGTGCCAACGGTGTCTCTGGTAAGCTCTGGATTGACATCTTCCCATTACATTAGGACCAATGTTTCAATAAAGGCAGACAAGGAACTGATTGTCAGCTCAGCCACAGCAATTGCTCACACACTGAACGGGACCGCAAGCTGGCTGTGCTGGTGTAGAGCATTTGTTGACTCAGTGAAATTTTAAGCCCCGAAAGTCATTTATGTAAGCAAGTTTTATTTTGCAAGTGGGGCAGGCTTCAGTCATCTGCGTGGTCAGTAACTATGGCCAGATGACTAACAACTCATTAAACCATGGCAACTTGATCTCTTCCAATTGTCTGGCCATATCCAGCCTTAAACATACAGGACTGATGTGTTTAAGAACTTGGATGTTTCAAGACCAAGATCTTTGCATAGGAAGGTATCTGCACAGACACAAGTGGACCTCAGTTTCTTTTCTGAAAGAGATCATGCAAGGACTGTTGCCATGTGCAGATCTCAGCCATCGTAGGCTGGTCAAACATGCATTCAGAGTTGCTTACCAGCTGGTTATCACCACTGTGGTCAAAAAAGAACAGAAAGCCATGTTAGATGCTAAAAAATCAGTTTTGCACAACTCTACTTGGGGAAATAACTTGGGCCCCATCCTGCCAAGGAAGGGCCATGTCATCAAAGGTGAGGAAATTGAAAAATAGGTTCTTTAAATTAAGAAAATTACTATTTTTTTTCATGCTATTATGCAGCTTATCTCTAGAAAATAACTATACTTTCTTGATGAGATACTGTTTAACTTCTTAACTCCAAAAGAGTCATTACGTTCCAAGACTATAACTTCATATAAACAAAAAATACATTTTTTTTATGTTTATATACATTATCTAGGTAATACACCCCTTGGTACTGGGGTCTAGCTGTGGAATCAGCTAGAGCAACTAAAAATTATTAGAAAATCTCTTACCTAAGCTTTGTATCGTTTTATACCTGAAGTCAAATTCCTCCTGCAAATCTTCCAAGTATTTGACATCTTGGTCAGTCATCTTTCCCGTGGAAAAGAAAGTACAATTATTTGGGTGTTCACAGTGACATAAAAAGGACTTTGTTTCGCAATGGACAAATGCATAATGTAGTATTTTCCTATAATTTGAAAATCCTTAAGCAGTTCTGGGAACTCTGGTTTACTAACTTGTAAACTTTAAAAAAGACAATTGAATTATAAATGGACATTTATAACTGCAGATTTATTTTACTTGTTCAGAAAGCCAACTATTATCCCCTTTTAATAGTCAAAGAGTAGTTGATATAGCTTCACCACTTCTTGTTTACTAGTTCAATGACATAGTGGGAAGTAGGACTGATTACATTTAGCCCGAGCTACACTGAATATAACTCTCAGAACTTTAAAGCAGAGCAAATGGATAATTTTGCATTGACTCCAATGGAAATTGGAATGGGGTGTGCAAAACCAAGAAAATTGGAGCTAGAGACAGGAGTAGAGCTCAGAGACTTTATTTAGAGAATTACTTAAGAATTTGGGTAAAGAAATGAGGCAGTTTTGATGCTTTGGCTTTTTGCAAGGGTTTGTTTTCATCTGTACTGCAAAAGGTTTAGAAGGTGTTTTCTGGTAACCAAACAACGATAATTCAAAAAAAGGCACATTAAAAGAAGGAAAATAAAACTGTAGGCAATAATCTGTTTTACTTAGAAGGTCTGTTTCTGTGCTGTTTATGGGAACCTTGATTCTGCCAAGAACTCATAAACAATCTTTCTTAGTTCCCGGAGATATGCATGTTAAGTGTCTGTGAAAATCCAAAAACTTGTGTGCTAAATTAGGACACACAGAATTAGCCATTTGGATTTCCTTTTTATTTTGGAGACTAAACTTTTTAATTATATGTGTAAGGCAGGAAACTACATACACAAGGAGCTGGCTGATTTCTGTGTTCAACTTAATTACCTACTAAAAAAACCTTGTATCTAGAAATCATTCTCATTTTCACGGGTCTTTCAGGGACGATTGCATTGCCCCTGCACAGGCAGAAGGAGCAGCAGGGTAGGTTGCTGGGTTGCAGCTTTGTCTGCTTTTGCTCTGCAACTCTTATCATGTCTTTATACACAGATAGAGATCTAGTATCACATTCTTCTAAAGCTAGCTTTATCCTTTTAAGGGTTTAATCTCTCTAACCCTTCTTCCCCATGTAGGGGATGAGAGAATACTAGGACCTCTTTCCAGTATAACAACTGTTGCTCTTGAACAGCATATAGACAGGTATTTCAAATATAACTTTTACATTGAGCCTGCTGCAAAGCTGAAACTGGGGCTGGGATAGCAAAAAGGCTGTAGGTAATCTGAATTCTATCCTCCTTTCAACTGAATGGGCAGGTATTCTCTGACTGAGCTTTCGAGGTCTCTATGGGCCATAGCTACAGGTTTGGCTCAGCCCAGCTCTGCCCTGCAATGGTATGGGAAACTCCTGGAGAATTGTTACCATCAGTTCCCAATGTTCTTCTCCCTTCTTGTCTCCAAAACATGTAATTATGTCATATTGCCTTCAGCTTTACAAAGATCTTGGTACATGACTTGGGGGTCATGAAGGCTAGCTGCTTCTGACCCAACTAAAAGAGGTGAAGTTGCAGAAATACATTTACTGAACCTCACATCTTTTTAGAGACATTAGGTATGTTGTTACTGCACTTGGTGGTCTTCCTGCAACTCACATAGGGATGAGTGTGATAGCTTCAACATATGTAGCTCTTGCACTGAGCCCAGAACAGCTGTAAAAACCTGAGAATGCAGGTATGTCCTGAGTAGTTTAGTCAGAGCTGAGGTCCTCAGAATAATGGAAATAGTTGGTGCAGTTTGTTAGCAAACATATTTGTGCCACCCAGCTTAAAGATAGTTCAGGAATGTCTGTATGAAAATCATGGCTGCGTAAACAGCAACCACAACAAAAATACCTGAGCGCTGTTCTTGATGGCTGACACTTTGTGTTCTACATTTCGCTGTCTTTCTGAAACCACGGAGTTCTGCAGAGACTTTTCCAGTGGCCCCTGGAACATGGTGAACAGATAATGGATGGATGAGTAATAGTAACGGGTGATAGTAACTGTACTGCATGTTCTAGCATTGAGAGGGAATTCAGAAGCTGTTCTTCAACCAGCTGGAGACTGGTGTAAACAGAGTCTGTTCAGTTCCACAGATTTGAAAAACATGCAGCTTTAACTCTGAAATCCAAAAGTGAAAGGGTGTGGGTATACTGCAAACATTAAACATCGACTAAATTAAAGAAACTCAAACATAAACTATTAGATTTCTAAAAAAGACCCATGTCACAATACTTATACAAGAATATGTATTACATCGACAGGTGATTAAAAAGAACACATTTGACTTAAAAATTCTGTCTGGGTTTTAACCATGTAACAGTTTCCCCAAAACAGGTTTTGTATGTAATTTTAAAGTTTCTTTCTTCAATTAATATAAAAACTATCAATGCCTTTGCAGCGTATCAGATGGAGTGTCTTTCGCATTGCATAATTAGTATGAATTAATGCATTGCATAATTTAAAATATGCACATCTGTTTTGGAAAGAATAATCTCTTCAAAGCCTCTCCCATGGATTAAAGTCTTTGAAGATAAGCTGTGACATGGAAGTCACTTGTAGCAATGTTTGCAGCAGTAGAGTCACTTATGAAGTACAAACATGAGTTTAAAGGGCAACATCTGGTAACCCCTAGTGCACACAAATCACTCTGGTGGAATGAGAGGACAGGATTTGGTCCTAAAAGCATGTGAGCAGATTAACATGGAGCTGATGAATGAACTGTAATTCATTACCTGTACAGGCATGCTAGCTGCAGCCAGTATTCTTCTTTCTTCTCTTAAACAGTTTGAGATGATTACTGCTATATGCATGGGATTACCATGATATTTGCCCTGCAAGCATAAGTAAATACAACTTATAAAAATGCAGAATTCGGGGTGTTCCTCTGGATATCATGAACAATGTGTTTCAGTGTCTATGAGCTACAGCTTTGTGCAGGTACTGCTCTTGGCTTTTGTTAGTGGTGGTTCAGCCTTGCAGTGCAGCATCCATCAGTGCCATTGTCATATTCTTAACAATGTTCTACAGAGATTATAAAGATACAACTCTGAGATGTGTATCATTTGAAGATCAAATTGCTCCACTGCTAACACAGCTATTTTGAAAGGCCTTTCCTGTCAGCCTATTCTTTGTACAATTTTATCATGCCTTCCATTTTCAATAGGACGTTGCTCTTAGCATGTAGCACTTCTGCCAACAAAAAATTGTAAGCATATCAATACAGTAATGATGCAAGTGCAAAAGCCTTCTTGGCAAAAAGCAGAAGACTTGCATTTTAATGTCTATGAACAATTTTTCTCCTTCAACAAATAACGTGCCTCAGATGTTGCCAAGAAGCAACTCTTGTCCCAAGAACCAAAACATGTCTCTGTTTATACACCACCATAAATAAGGTGCAGAACTGCTGACGTGTGACTGACGACTGGACGCAATTTGAACAAATATTGGCTTGTGCTGTATTTATCAAATTGAAATGACTGAGTACTCTCAAGCAGCCTCTTTCATGGTGATGTACTTGCTCAGTGTTTCTCAATATCCTTCATGCCTTTCATTCAGTATTCATGTGTTATTCATTCAGATGCCCTTTATTTGGTGCTCATACAGTTTTCAGACATTCATTAGAATTAATCCAGTTCACTTATTTTCCTGTACAGTTTCCATTTCTGGGCTTGTTCTATTTTCCCCTCTTTCTGATTAGCTTTTATTCTTATCATATTCTGTTGCCACTCAGAACTTCATTTAATCTTGCTTTCTCTGAATGTGGCACAAGAAGTTCATACATACTTAAATTGATGCTGTATTTTCCTTTGAAAATCTCATACCAATTGTCATATTAGAAACAAGGGTGTGAACACATCTAATAGAAATGTGAACACACTGCTTCTATATTCCAACTATTACTATGACAGTGAACACTTATTTCTAACACTTTTTACTAGACAGACAAAACTGAGTCATTTCCTGGGTGCTTTTCCATGAAATCTACATAATCTGGAAGACTTTTTTGATGTGTTTTGACTTCAGTCACAAGGAAAGAAATACTATATTAAAAATAGTCAGTTTAATAATGGAGACTTGGTTTGAGCTGCTTGGTATTAAATACCATGCTGCTGGTTATAGTCTGGTTCCAGGTAGAGACTAAGGTGAAAGACATAGGACTCTTAAAACTAAATACCTGATGTACAAAATGTTCCCTTCTAGAGAATCTTTGACTGCCATGGCATTGTTAGCAATGAAACTAAGCTTTCTAATGTTTATAGGGTTTCTGAAATCTTCTCAGGTCAAATAAAGTATATGCCCCACAGTGCAACCAGTGCAGACCCCAAGTAGTCCCAGTGCTGTACCTCCTTTGATCTCATTAAAAGCAGTTCAGGGTGGTGCTTTACTCCAGCAACCATCTGTATCAATTACCCTTAGGAATGGGAGTTATGGACTAAACTGTGATTTTTAGGAGTTTCTCTGGAAAAAAGCAATGATGAGTAATACTACCCCAGGACAGACTATGGCTCAGATGAAACACAAGGCACTCCAACCCTGCCTGCTCCTTGCTAGGCAGTGAGGAGGGATTTAACATGAAGGGTACGCTGCTGATTTCCACATGAAATGACAATGCCAGAAATCTGCCATTACTTGCTTCTCCCTGCCAGCTTCTTAGCTGTAAGAAGCTGCACATTGCCTTCAGCACAACAGAACTTCAGATCCCTGAACATACCGGTAGTCACTTTTATTGAGCACATTCCCAAGCTGTCCCTATGTAGTGTCAGGATGTAACTTTGGGACGAGAATACAGGAATGTGGGAATTGGCTCTGATCTTCCTGCAAAAGATGAAGAGTGGAGTGGAGCTTCATGAAGAAGTAAGGTAACAGTAAGGTCCAACGGCAACAGCTGGAGCAAATTAATTGCTGCAAGGAATGGTTATGCTTCTGGCTGTGCCGTGCCAGCCCCTGTCTTGTGCCAGTCCAGTGCCTGTCTGCCTCCTTAGTGAGCCAGCCCTGATTGCTAACTGGGATGGAAACCACTCACACTTTTTTGCTGAATGGCCTTTCTGCTCCTCAGTGGATGGAAACTGCTCAGCAAAGGATGAGTTTGTTGTTAAGGACTAGTGCACATGAAGCCAGGAGAGGTTGGCTGGGAGAGGGGAGAACCAGCCTGCCTTATTGCAGCTGCAGTCAGTTGTATCACTAAGCCTGTCTCATCTCACTGTACCTTAGTAAGGCTTGGGATGAAATCTGCGATGAGAAATCTGCTGGTGTAAATCCACTGATGTGCACATTAATTCCTCAGTTAATGGCTGTTAATTTCTGCTTGTTGCTGTTATTTTTTTGCTGGTAAAACAGGGTCCAACCTTCCATGTAGAAGGCTAGTTTATGACGTCCATACCACACATTGGTATCTGCACACCATCTGAAGCTACAAAGCTTGAGGAGCGTTTAGTCCCAGCTTACCGCTGCCCAACAGAATTTGAGCCCTCTTAGGGTTACTGGTTGCCTTTTGTCTTTGCCCTGTGACAAAAAGGAGTCAAACAAAAGCTATTTAAGAAAGTCAGGAAGAAATAAAAATCCTTTCTTTGAACTGGAAAATGCATTAATGTAGAAGAGGCACTTCAAAAAAAAATCTTCTGACAGTGGAATGTTTTTAAAAACCCCCACAAAAAATGCCAGGTATTGGGGACTTTCCTAGCATTTCTAGATACTGTTTATATGCAAAACTTTAAAAAACTCTTTCTCTTTTTCTTTGTTTCATTAAGAGAAAACCATCGGAATCAAGAGATGAACTGGAAATTCTCTTTCTCTCTTTCTTCTTCTACCACCCTCTTCTTCTTCTACCACCCTCTTCTTCTTCTACCACCCTCTTCTTCTTCTACCACCCTCTTCTTCTTCTACCACCCTCTTCTTCTTCTACCACCCTCTTCTTCTTCTACCACCCTCTTCTTCTTCTACCACCCCCTTATTCTTCTACCACCCTCTTCTTCTTCTACCACCCTCTTCTTCTTCTACCACCCTCTTCTTCTTCTACCACCCTCTTCTTCTTCTACCACCCTCTTCTTCTTCTACCACCCTCTTCTTCTTCTACCACCCTCTTCTTCTTCTACCACCCTCTTCTTCTTCTACCACCCTCTTCTTCTTCTACCACCCTCTTCTTCTTCTACCACCCTCTTCTTCTTCTACCACCCTCTTCTTCTTCTACCACCCTCTTCTTCTTCTACCACCCTCTTCTTCTTCTACCACCCTCTTCTTCTTCTACCACCCTCTTCTTCTTCTACCACCCTCTTCTTCTTCTACCACCCTCTTCTTCTTCTACCTTCTGAGCTGTGTTCCACAGCCTGAGCAGGCATCCCCATCTGCTGGTCTTGATCTCTCTCTCTCTCTCTCTCCTAGAATGGCTATATTTGTACAATAAATGCTATATCAATAGCCCCTTTTGCAGTAATCTAGCAGATGGGTTGCAATTCAACAATAATAAATTGATAAGGTGTAACATTGAATAACTCGATAATTGTAACTTAAATAACAATAATTACTAAAAGTCGCAATAACCAATGTGTTTGACTCCATCAAAATAGTAACACTGATTTTTTTGTCCCCATAGTTTATACTTCTCAGAGGTAATTAATTGCACTTCAGAATGTGTCACTCAGTATTCCCTTATTATCCATCTAATGCCAAGTCTTGCTGTTCTGCACTTCTGTTTTGTCTTATTTTGAGCAATTCTGCCCTCAAACAGACCTTGGCTTCTGAATGACTAATTGAAAATTATTTCCTATCATTGGAAGAGTAGTATAACTTGGAAAATAAAGGAAATTTAACCAAAAAAAGGCTTGAGATGGAGGAATCCTAACTTAGTGTGACATGAGTATTAGCAGCCAAGAAAGGAGGAAGAGTGTGGATTCTGTAGCTATGCAAAATTGCATTACAAAGTTTAGATATTCATAGAGAAAACTTATAACTATCTTTTGATAAACACCAACAAAGAGAAATTGAGGATTCACTTTTCATCTGAAGTTTCAAATTGAAATATTATTTGCTAATATTATTGTAATTCTGTTAGAAATTTTCTTTCTCCTCTCTTCCATTTTGATGAGGCTTCCCATATCATGATTTACAACAAACAACAAATTATCTTATTTGGACTGGCTTCTTCTCAATAACTACCAGCATGACGCTAAATTTAAGCAAATGGAAGAAACTAAACTTTCATTCTGAACAGGTGAAAATTTTCTCTGAATACTGATGACATTTCCTCAGGGGAAAACCTTCCTAACACCACCCAGCATGCACTCTCTCTACTCCAGACACATCCGTTCTCATAGTATCTTACTAGATCATGAAGAAAAACACAGGCATTTGTGGAAAAAAAAAAAAAAAGAAAAATTATACATTATAGAGGGCAAAATTTAGACCCTTTAACCAAATCTTAAAGCAGTTTGAACTATTTGGGATATGTTAAGATGCATGAAACAGGGGCTTGGGAAGTGCAAGGTTTGATTCTGTAAGTCGTAAGATCATGGAGAAACTTTAAAATACATATTATGACACTTTAAAATACACATGCTTTTAAAAAGAACACCAAAAAACTGTCAGTTTTAGTACCTGAAATTTACTGCTTTTTGTGAGATGAATGAAGCAATCTAGACCACAGATCTGTTTTCTTACACTTCTTTTCTTCTAATTTTTTTTTTTTTTAATTTTCCAGAATTTAGCTTATTTACCTGTGGGCAGCTCCATCACAAAGTGATGGATCACTCCTAACTGCAATAATACTGGACAGCTTTCTTTTAATGTGTCACAGGTCTCTATATAGTGCACACATCTATAAATAAATACTATATAT